TCAAATACTGTGATAAAAAGTACATGGTCCTTCCAGGGCCTCATTCACACGTGATACAGATCCTGTTTCTGCAGCCAGGATGTCCATTTGGACTCTTCCACTGTCGTTGGACCCTGTTACATGACAGGTCTCCTTCAGTCTATTAGAAGTACGAAATGGAAACAAATTAAGGTGTAATTAACAGCCTGCTTGTGTCTTTCTAAGGATGTCCTACACCTGGCTAGACTCTTCCTTGGAGATAAACATGATAGTAATCAACCTCTACTCCTAACTTTGATCTCTCTTTTTCTTCCTTTTTTCATTTTGTTGCCTTATTTTTATTGTTGTTGTTTTTTATTTGTTTGCTTTTTGTTTTTATTTTGTTTTGTTTTGAGGCAGGGTTTCCATAGGGTAGTCCATTTAGACTCAAATGTTCAGCAATACCGAGTAAGAAGGTTACAGATATATATCACCAAGCTTATTAATCTTAGTATTAAAAAGAAAACATGACTTTGGGCTCATCACCTTCATTCATAGCTTCACAAGTCCCTTGATATAGAGAGCCTCCTAGTTATTCAGGCATTAGGTCTAGCACTGTTCATAGAGTAACCATCAGAACAGCCATGCCTTGCACCTAGAGCTTCCAGGCATTGGTAAGTGCATTCTGAGTATCAACTGCTACGGTCTGGGTGTGGTTTGAGTGTCTCTTGCAAGGTTTTCTTGGTTTGCAGCATGGTTGGGTTGAAATGATGGAACCTTTAAGTGATGGAAGTCCAGTGGAAAATATTAGATCATAGGCTCTGCCCTCACGAATGGGTTAGTGCTATTTTAGGAAGTGGGTCAGGTCTGGTAGGAGTATCCTACCTTCTTAAAGAATCTGCTAGTTTTTTTTTCTGTTTGTTTGTATGTTTTTAATAGCAAGCTGGGCCTTTCCCAGGTCTCTTTTCCTAGTTTACAGGTTTACAGGTTGTCAGCCATGTTGTAAAGCAGCCCTCACCAGGACTTGTGCTGTTCCATCCACCTGTAGTATGAATCAGAAAATTTCCATGGCATTCAGTTTAACTCATTCTGCTACAGCAACACACAGTGCACCAAGACACCAACTGTGGCATAAGAGGATCACAAAGTCTTAGGGACGCTGCATCTCTTTTCTTAGAATCCCAACAGTCTTCAACAGGAAACAAAGTTTTGGAAAGACCTCAAACAACTCAAAATACTAACAGGGTTCTGGGAGTGCTTGTAAGTGAAAAACAGCAAGATCTTGGTAACAGATGAATGCCAACAAGCCCAAGTTAGAGAACACCTATAAAAAGATGCCCGTGTGAGTTTAGGTATGAATAGAAAATACCCTGGCCCATCACAGGTCTATACTGTCCATGTGCACAGACACACATCTGCTGTAGCCTAGTTGTTGTGGGTCACCTGCCTAATAGGGAACTTCAGACTCAGAGCAGCCAAGGCATTCCTGTGTCATTGTTGTCCTGAGAAGCCAAGGTAGCTAGATAGAGCTAGTGATATGCTCCTTTCAATCTGATGGCCTCAGATTCAGTCATTGCAGGAGCGCCCATAAGATGGCAAGGAGGCACCCTTCCTTACTCTTCTTTGGGGAAGAGAATTGCAGTGGCAAGAGACAGACTAAAGAATCTCAGCAGGGAAGGGGACCCTGAGCATGCTAAGGGTTCGGTTATAGAATGAGAAATTATTGTCTCTGGCCCTACAGCAGAAAAATATGGACAAGGCTGGGAATGCATCTCACTGGCAGAGTACTTGCCCAGTAGCACAAGACCTTTTTATCCCCAGCCCTGGAGGTAGTGGGTGGTGGAAAAGCTATCTCCACAGAGTAGGAAGTACTTATACTTAGAGGGTACACTTGTTCTCTATGGCTGTTAGGGGGGTGTAGAAGGGGGAGGGATGACAACACCCTGGATGATAAACAGTAGAAATGCATTCTATCACAGTTCTGAAAGTCAGAAATCCAAAATCAAGGTGTTGACAAGCTTTCATTTTTTTCCCCCTCAAAACTTCTAGAAGAGCCTTTTTTCCCTTTTGCAGCTTCTGATAGATCCAGAAGTCCCTAGACCATGGCTTCATTGCATACCCTCTATCTTCACAAAGGTAGAGGTGTGTGTGTGTGTGTGTGTGTGTGTGTGTGTGTGTGTGTGTGTGTGTGTGTGTGTGTGTGTGTGTTCTTCTGACTCTTTTAAAGGCACATGCCTTTGAAATTGGCGCAGCCCAGGCAGATAATCCAGATGCTGTCAATTTGAAGTCCTTAACTACTCCAGTAAACCAACCCTTCTCCAAATAAAGTCACACTCCCAAGTTCTAGAGGTTGAGATGAGCTTTTGGAGGTAGATACTACTGGTCAACCTCCTGCAGAGGACACCTAACTACAGGTTGCCAGTGCCTAGTTGACACACAGGCACACTGGCACCCGGTGTTCTCCACATGCAGATGTGGTTCAGGACAAACAAAAGTGAGAATAGAAAACTCAGGTGGTAGAAAAAGAAATTGCAGAAATAGAACACTTGCTTTTCTTGAGAACTGAGGAACACATACTTCAATCTCACACCATGAATCCAAATGAGTCCCTCTTACCTCGCTGCACCTCAGTTTCCTGGTCTGCAACATAAAAAAATAACAACCTTTTTCCAGAGTAAGTTGATATATGTAATGCTTTGCTTAGAAGAGAAAGTAGCACAAAATACTTAGCAAATGTCAGCTGCCATTACAATTATCTGTTCCCCTCCATCTCCCCATAACTGTCTCTGAACCACCATCCTCTTTCCTTTTTCCTATATTTGTACTGCTGCTCACTGAGCAATCAAGGGCGACCTGAGTTCTTGTTTGTATTTTTAGAAGATACTAACTATATACCTAAACCACAACTGACTATAGATATTGCAAGCTTGGGGAAAAAAAATACAATGCTTGCCACAAAATGTTCCAGTACATAACAGAACTTGTAAAGTAAGTACATGGTTTATTTATTTCTATTTTCTCTGTGGTTCACCTTATTTCATAAAAGACTCAAACAGGTATTCAATTATACTCATAGTAAATTCAAAATGAATAGGTAAAAAGAAAGAATAAGATTTGAGAGGGATATGAAAAGACAAAAATGAAACCCGAAGTTTTGAGGGTGTTTTTTTTTGTTTGTTTGTTTGTTTGTTTTTTGTTTTTGTTTTTTCACAATATCTGTTTCATTCATTAAAAGCAGGCCACAATCTCTCTCTGGCTTTAAGCTCTTACACCTGGTGCAAAAATAAAGTTTGACCCATTAAATTACTCACCATGCCTTTAAGTTTAAAAGATGAAGGGAAGAGAGTGGAAAAGAAGAAAGGGACTTTTGCTCAGAATTCTCATTGTTCTTGGTGGAAGAAGAAAAAAATCCTTCCTTGGACCTCCTTAGAGAAGGTGTAACTGTTCTACTTAGCTGCTACTCTGAATCAGTATTTCTCAACCTGTGGGATCGTGACCCCTGTGGAAACTTGACGCCCTTGGGGACAAATGACCCTTTCACAGGAGTCACATAAACTGAACATCAGATATTTATATTATGATTCATAACAATAGAAAAATTATAGTTATGAAGTAGCAATGAAAATAATTTTATGATTTGGGGGTCACTGCAACATGAGGAACTGTATTAAAGAGTAGTAGCATTAGGAAGGTTGAGAACCACTGCTCTAGACTGTAGGTGTGCAATTTTGGATTAAAAAACGAAATTGTCCACATTATCTCTGCTTGACTCATCCCCTAATAGTGAGGAGCAGTTAAATTGAGAGTGTGGTGGTTAACAAAGTGTGTGTGTGTTTGTGTGTGTGTGTGTGTGTGTGTGTGTGTGTGAGAGAGAGAGAGAGAGAGAGAGAGAGAGAGAGAGAGAGAGAGAGAGAGAGAGAGAGAGAGAATGTATGTGGGGAAATATAAATGATTACCAGTTACTTTTTAGGGTAAGTGGGCATACAAACAGTGTTTCATATAATGACAGTACCTATGTGTTTGTTTTCTGAGACTGGGTCTTGCTGTGTATCCAGGCTGGCCTAGAACTTGCTCTTTCAACCAGACTGGCCTCAAACTCACAAAGATCCTCACCTTCCTGCCTCTGCCTCCCAAGTTCTGTAATAAAAGATAAGCAATGCTACACCCAGCACAAGAGTACTTTTTTTTTTTTTTAAAGAGGAAAAAAAAGCAAAAGTTCCTGAAATAAAAAAAGCTATTGAAGGTTAAGATCCTCCACTCAGACAAAACCAAAACAAAACCAAACCACCACCTTGGAGCCCCTGTGCTGTTTAGTGCTAGGGCAGTTGGAGCAGCAAAGCCAGGATCTAAGGAAGGGATGGGAGGGTGAGGGCCAGTGGAGAAATCACAGAGGCGCTTGAAACATCACCTGAAAACCAAAGGCTACAACTGGCACTCAGATTGAGGTGGCAGTCTGAGAAGATAAGATGACATCAATAAATATAAATAAAAATTTTAAATTTTATAGTTTACCATAAAGGACTTGCAAGAAGAAAGCATCATGTAGATTAGCCAGACCTGAAGTCTACACCTCTCAGTGAACTGAGCAGTGGGAGCTGAGGCTGTGGGGCTCCACATGGGATCTCACACTTCCCCTGTCCACTGTATCTTTACATACTTATCCACCACAAAAAAAGATAAAGCAATGGCGGTTAAAACTAGAAAAGCAATTAGCCTTATATCCTCTTTTGTGACTCACGAGTCCATTACCCGGATCCCATCACTCCTCATCGCCTATATACCCCACTTTGAGAAATGTGACCAAAACCTTTATGATGTGAAAAAAATCATGTTTGTTGTCAATGTTAGCTGGGTGTTTCCTTTATGAATGAACATAAGATTCTGAGCACAACATTATTTGGTGGTCCAGTGGGCACGCTTTCAACAAGAAACACCCCCATTCCTTCCCTTCTCTTCCCTTCCCCTCCCCTCCCTCCCTCCCTTCCTCCTTCCCTCCCTCCCGAGTGCACTCACTCATATATACACACACCCAACACACCTACCTTGTTCAGCCACTTCAGCCCTGGTATCGTGTTTGAATTTATCTGTTCCTCCAGCCATGGGCGCATCCGCATTCTTTCCACCGGCATGGTACCCTGTGGCCGAAGAGAAACACAGTATTGCTCATCTCTGCAACTGACTGTCTTATCTGTACTCCAAAGTCTACACCCCTGCCATGACCCTTTCCTAGTCTCCTCTTCCCAGGGAGGAGTTAGCTATATTCACTTCTCCTGCCACCTGCTCTCACCTATCTCTTTCTCTCAATGGGTTTTTAAATGGACCAGGCCTGACAGTCTCTATGCTGTCAGCTGAAGAAAGTTTTGATGAGCATGATATGCCACGCACCCAACTAGCTGGAGGCCCAGATGCCACATAGTGTCTCTGCCTCAAGCCACACTTTACTCACCCCCTTCCTCTTTAAGCTGAGCATATAACATAAACCATCAACATGTCAGACATTCAAGGACCACTATTTTACTTTCCAAATGCCAAGAAATGCCAGGAAATAGTTCTGAGACCAACTATGGCAACCAATACATCCCTTGGAGGATCTGGGCTGCATAAATATTTTGACCTCTCAATACTGGCTCTAGAGCACCGATTACTTTGGTTTCTCTAAAGGTCTGTTACTGACAACTCATTCCTTCTAACTTACTTTATGCTAGGAGCTGGTCAGCCTCTGCCCTGTTCTCATCTTCACTTCTGCATCGACCCTAGTGTCATCTCTTGGTCATTCCATCCAGCATTTTTCTTCAGTACCAGCCTTCCTGCTCTGACTCAGCTGTGTGCCTTTACCCTGTGCTCAACTTCCCTTTGAAAGTCACTTGCATGTTTAGAATATCTTTCCCCCACCAGTCCACGCAATGCCTCTCTCTGCTCCTACCAGACTCCTGTGATCATCTTGCATTTTCCCACCCAAACACAACTACGGTGGAATCACTAATAAAGTGGCTTCCAGCTTCCCACCCTGCATCTTCATGGTGCTCATGTCTGTAACTTTACACTCAGCCTGACACCTGAAATCAAACATGGCAATGACTCAGGCTTCCAGTCTCCGAGACTTGGCGGCTCGTGTGACATTACAATCCTCTCTCCAACCGGAGCCCCCTCATTTCTTTAACTCGTTTCTTCCAAAACTAGCTGAAGAGTGTTCAGATGAATGTGGATCAGTCTTGCCAAGCTCTCCCCTATGCTCTGTCCCCAGCTAGTGCCAAGAGTACAAGGACCACTGTGTGAATCAGTAAGGGCCTCACCTATGTACCTAGCAGCCACCCGCCTTTTCTCTATACCCCTGCCAAAGCTCAAGCCCACTGTGCTCCTTGCTCGCAGCAAGCCCTCCCCTCCTAGGCTTTGTCAGTCCTTATTGTTCTTCCAAGACCTAAGCTCTACACTTCTCCCGCAAAGTCACTGGGATCAGTCCAGCTTGAAGCAACCCTTCCTCCTCCAACTCCTATACTCCTTACTCTGATGACTTGAGAAGCAGACATTGCTTTAGGGCAGCTGTGTTAGTCCTGGCTTTTGTCTCGTCTCTTATTATGCCTATAAACTTTTCAGCTGTGCATAGACTCGCTTCCCATGCAAATTGTGAGTCGAGAGGCTGAACTTCACTCCTTCTAGTAAAATGAATAATCCTGTAAAGCCGAGTTCTGCCTTGGCTTTACATGCTAAGTGTTCAACAGAAGAGAAGCCAGGCAAGGCTGCTATGAAACAGTGACCTTGTGCAACATCTGCAGGCTCCAGGTGGCCATTCTTTGAAAACCTTAGAAACATTACAAAAGGACATGTGATGATGATGAGCCGTCACCAATACAGCTGCTTTTCAAGTATCTCAGATTGTCCCATTGATGCATTCATTCATTCATTGGCTCATTCATCATCCATCCATTCAAAGAGCTTGGATTGAAAACTAGAGTCTGAGAGTTGGGTGTGGTAAAACATTCCCTGACATCTTGATCCTTATAGGACTCAGGACTTGGTAAAGAAGGGAATGGGAAACATGAGGAGCCCTGTGTGGGTGTATGGAGTTAGCAAGGAGTTCTGGAAACATGGGAAAAGTCACACTCACTGCTGCCAGCATAAAGGCTCTGCCCTGCAGAGTGGTGACCACAACCTACTCAAATCTTCTCTCAGAAGACGACCTCAAGACATGGAGTAGGGACAGAATGGCAAAATTAGGGACAGTTACAGGAGCCATTAGTTGAGGTGACAATATAAGAGAATCACTGCTGGTAAACTCAGTGACAGGGCACACCTGAGGAGCCCTGCTTCCAGTGCAAAATCGTCACAGTAAGTTTCCTTCCATTTTTTATTCATAAATAACTATTTGTATAGCTGGTGCACATTATTTTCAAGTTCTGTACATGGGAATTATCATACTAGAAATGTATTTGTAACTAAAAAACACATCCTTACAGTGTTTGCCTGGTCATTACAGATTTGTGCCAAAGGGGAAGATGCAAGATGCCTCATATGAATGTAGCCACTGAGATCAAACAAAGCAACACTCTACGTTCTTGCTACCCCTCTCCTACTGCAAATCAGAGTCCTTTCCACAGTCTACTTAGTATGACATTTTTAATATCTCTGTGCTTTCTGTTGATCACCTTGCCATTTAAAATGCCCCAAAGTAGTGCTGAAGTACTGTGTTACATTTCTAAGCACACTTGTGTGCACCGTGTGCACGCGCACACACACACACACACACACACGGCTGTGTTATGACTTATGAGGAAAATAAATGTAATCAGACAAGCTTACTCAGAAATTCAGGAATGAATCATATCAGTGTTATATATGCTTGGCTGTGCATTCATTTTGTTGTTTATTTTTGAGACAGGGTCTTTCTATGTAGTCCCAGCTGTCCTAGAATTCAATATATAGGCCAGACTGGCCTCAAACTCACAGAGATCTGCATGTCTCTGCCTTCTGGGTGCCAGGATTAAAGGTATATGATACCTCACTCCATGTAAATTCAGTATTAATCACCAGCATGTATTAAACAAGGCATCTTAAAACATCAAGGCTATATTATATTTATCTACTGGTGAAAATGTCCTGACCAGAGACTCACTAGAAGCTGATGTCATTCTAAGAGAGAACTGAAGACAAAGACACACACTGAGAAGGAACTATGGACATAGACATGGAGAGAAGACAGCCACATGGAGGCAGCAACAGAGACCGAGTGAATCTTCCCCAAACCAACATATGCCTAGGGTTTCCAGAATCAGGATGTAATAAGGATGGAGTCTCTCCTAGAGTTATTGCTTTAAGTCACACAGTCTGTGGTACCTCGTTATGGCAACCCCAAGAACTGACCCTGAACATGTAGAAGGGACCAGCAACCAGACAGCAGTCAACAGCAGCTGGTCCTGGAAGGCCATTGTGGAACATCCCCTAATGGCAGAGAGAAAACTAATAAGCACTTAGGTCCCTGGACTATGCTCTGAGAAGCCAGGAGCCAGATGCCCGTTAATTGTTCCATATGAATTGCCTGGGTATTCTGTGGCATCCCACAATGCCTGGTCTTTCTGGCAGGCAGATCTTTTCCATTCATCTAATTGCCAGGCTTTACTGCTTCATCTGTCTGTTGGCCCATCACTAACAGGGATTCAGTCCAGCCCAAATTCAAAGTTTATCTCTTCCTCAGCCAAAATACTAGCTGTTTGGTTTGTGCCTCCTAGGTTCATATGTTAGAAATGTGATTCCTAGTGTGGCAGAGTGAGTTTGTGGAACTTCAAGCGATAGTCTCCTGCTAGGTCATTAGGCTATGGTGTCATCATTGATAAGCACATCAGTGCTATCTCTGCAACAGATCAGGTCCTTGGGACTGGATTTATTCCTGGATGAGTGCTTATGAGGGAGCTGGAGAAACGGCTCAATGGTTAAGAGTACCACCTGCTCTTGTAGAGGACCAGGGCTTTGTTTGTAGCACCCACATGGCAGCTCACAACAGTCCATAATTCCAGTTCCAAGGAATCCGATGTCGTCTTCTGGCCTCTACAGGCACTGCATACATGTGGTACACAGCCATACATGTAGGCAAACACACATAAAATAAACATCAATATTGAGAAAAGGAGGGCTTTTAGGAGCAGGCCTTGCACCTCCCCTCAATCTTAATTACAAGCACTTGCTGTCACTGTGGTGTCAGCTGCCAGAGGTCTCCACAACCTCAAGCTCCTAAACCCCCAGAACTCCAAGCTTAACACTAACCTTTCCTCATAAAGACACAACCTCAGGTGTGTTGTTTAAGGAACACAAAATAAACCAAGATATGTGAATAAACATATAAAAGCATTTAAGGAATTTTCTGTATTTACTTTCATTGTTTTTCTCCCATTGTACACAATAGACACATATGTACTGACTGTCACACACCATAGCTGAAAGAGAAAGTGTCTTGGCTTTGTTCGCTTTTTATTCTGCCCCTTGAGGATTCATTTAGCCCTATATTCTGACAGAAATGCCCTAGTATCTATAATAGCTACCTCAAAAAAAAAAAAAAAAAGTAATGACATTATTCTTGCTTTTATAATTATCTACCAAAAAAAAGAAGAAGAAAAAGCTAAATTCCTCTAACCAACCAGGCGCAGACTCAATGGAGGGAAAGCACAAAAGTGGGAAAAGATAACTGATCCCACAAAGTTGTCCTCTGACAACCACATGCAGACCATGGCATTTATCTCTGAATATGAAGAAAGTACGTTTTGGTTTCTTTTCAGCAACCTCGCTGATAGCTAGCCTCACTACCCTTGCCTGTGAGGCCAGCATAAGTAAAATAAGAGTTACCTGAATGCAGACAATGCATACTGTGACAGCTCATTTGATGACTAAGATGGCTCTAATGACAAGTGGCGTACAACACGGATACACAGAACACGTGGGTGGCTCACTGCTTAGGTGGGATACAGCCAAATGCATGAAATTTCATTACACCACTCAGAAGAGTGTGATTTAAAACTTCACATTTATTTATGGAATTTTACAAAATTTTACACTCAGTATTTTCAGGATACAGTTGACCCGGGTCAAGAGAAACCACAGGAAGCAAGACCCATGATAAGATGAAACCACTGTTTGGTTATCAGCGGTG